GTCATGAAAGGTAATCATTGGTTAGCTCGGAGTACAATTATGTGATTTACGTAGATCTTTCATTCTGAAAGCGTTTGAGCTTCCTATTTAGAATTTGCAACTATTTGAAATTCAGGCTGATTATCATTGACTGATAGGGGCCATCCTTTCAGATAAGGATGGGAGTATCTGATATTACTTAATGAAAAAAATGTGCTGGCTGTTAATCTTACTTTGCACCAGTAATCCTCATATTTATAGGTCAAGTGGCTTTGAAATTAGATTAAATTTAGCTATATTGATTTGATAATTATTTGAACACCATTGTTCACACTGTTGATTTATGTGTGTTTCTTTTTAGAATTGTGGTAATTTACTTGTGGATCTGCATGTGATTCAGACTCACGATTCACATGTGGATATACAGGCCTGTATTTGTTAAAATTTGTAGATCAACAAATGCTTAGCTATGATCAGCAGAACATTCAAGTGGCTATTTCTGATCTTAACTGGTTTAATTAATTAATGAGTGTGGGCTTTATCAGGTATTGATTAGTTTATTAAATGATATTTTCTGCCTAACAAATTGAACTTGTTTTGTAATGGAAATATTTGCAAAGCATATTTTACTTGCTTTCATTCTCTTACCTATTGGGACCCCTCCCACCCCATTAATTAATTATATTTTTTCCTTGAACTGAATCCCTGAGCCTGGGAGTATATAGCTGAGAAGAAGCTGGGGCTAGGAACTTGAGGCAAGGTTGAGAGTATAGGACAGTAGATAATCACAGGAATAGGCCAGGCCTGAGGAAGCCACTGTGAGTAGCATGGAATCGTGGCATCTCTAGGCCTGGAAGGTCAGAGTTGTGGATGAAAGTGGCTGAAGTGGATGAAACTAGGCAGCAAGCAGAAATCAGGGACTTGGGAATATTAGAATTTGAGGGAGTGGTATGAGAAGAGGGCACAAAAGTAAAAAATAAAGAAAAATCTAGGTCACATGAGAAATCAGTCTGCAGAAACTGAAAGAACCATGATACCATTTGGGTGTCAAACCTGGGATATCTGAATAGAACTTCTTTGGTTTTTCAGTGCAAGTTGTGCTCTAGCCAAGAAGCTTCTTAGGCACTCCCTGCCAGGGTAGGAACCAGTCCCAGGGGTGGGTCCCCAGAGCCCACTTATAAAAGCAGGTCATGGGTGTGTCTGCCTGGAAGGGAGGAGGAGGTAGCCTGGGATGGTCCTGACACTTAAGAAGAGAGGTTAAGGACTAGTGGCAATAGAAGCATAATCAGCACTTTGCTGAGCATTGTGTATTCCATGACTCAACAACCCTTGGTTATAACACACCCATTTTCCAGGCAGTAAAACCACCTGGCCAGGGCTGGGAAGGAGTAAAGGGGGCTTAATGTGTCTGCTGTATCTCTGTCCATTAACCTAGAAGGCAATATAAAGAAGCAACTATTAATATAAAAAGGGTAAAGTGCTTCTGTTTAAAAGCTGCTAAGAAGTTTGCATTCTGTGTAAAAATCTCAGTTCTCTTTTTAAGGTTTTTCATAGCATAAAACCTTCCTTTCCTTTGGAAAGGAATACATTGGAATAAATAATATAATAATATAAAGTAATAAATTATATAAATCAAGACTAATGAGGAAAATGTAATTTGTGATCATGTAAAGAGTTTTGTTGTACATTATACAAACATATATGTAATAAATATTCACATGTTCATGTATAGTATAAATATACATGGGAATGTTTATATATTTATATTGCTTAGGAATTTCTGAAAATTAGGAGATTCCCAATTATTAATTGTTTTTTTAACATAGTGTTTTGGTCCCTTTTTTAGATATTAGTACAAAATTACTTTGTGTACCTTTATTTTTATTTGTATTATGAAATCAGATCAACTTACAGGAAAGAAGAACTAATTAACATTAAAATCTCTTTTATGTCTCTTTAGACTCACTTTTAATGGTATATCTATTTGTCAATATATTTGCTTTTTCAGTTAAATTATTTCATGCATACATTTGAGTGTAATGATGTAATTCACTTAGTGCTTATTTTTAAAAACTATTGTATGGTAATATAGCATATTTTGATTATAATTATCTTACTCTTGACCATTTGGGTCAATAGTATTTTGATCTTTCATTATTGGAAAATGTCATTAGTATGGACTTTTTTAAAGATCATTTTTAGGTTGTTGCCTTGGAGCATTTCCCTGAAAGTCAGATTCCAACAAGTCAAAGGGCAGTAACAATTTTATAGCTTCTGTTACATATTGACAGATTGTTTTCCGGAAAGATCAAGCTAATTTGCCATACCACTATCAATGTAAATAAAGCATAGTCCCAGTTTTAGACAGTTTAGACAGCCTGAGCACAAATGAAAAGTACAATTACATTTTTACCCCAGGGCCTAGCTGTAAAGATAGCTCTCATAAGTAAGCTCAATATGTGGACTTTGAAATTATAGAACCAATAAAGCATGTACCTAATTTGTTCTTCAGAATGTGGAGCCTTGAAGCTAAGGACTCTTGGGGCTGGAGAACATGTGGTGTTGAGGTAGAGGCGCCTTTTGGACCCGTGTAGTATTGTGACTGCACTCTTTGAGGTGTCGTCAAAGCCCAGAACAAAAGGAAAGGTGGAGTGCCCCGTCCCAGTGTTTCTTCTGCCAGTGAGGTTGTCAGGCCTGCGAAGAATTCTGGAGGGCATGGTGGAAGTTGTAGGATAATGGGCACACTTTGGAGTCAGGTGTGCAGCAAAGGGGAAGAGAATGTTTAGATGGCTTCACTGTAGCCACCAGTCAGTGGGCCATGTCCCTCCTGGATAGCTGCAGGAAAACCAAAAGTTTTCCTTATTAAAAAATGTCAACTCAAGAATGTTGGGGTGTAGCCGTGCATGGTGGCACATGCTTGTAGTCCCAGCTGTTTGGGAGGCTGAGGCAGAAGGATCACTTGAGCCCAGGAGTTTAAGGTTGCTGTGAGCTTGGCTGATGCCGCAGCACTCTAGCCGGGGCAACAGAGTGAGACTCTGTCTTAAAAAAAAAGAATATTGGCGTGTTTTTTTTCTTTGTGATATGGCATTATCAAATTTATATTGGAAGTTGATGGAGAGTGTAGATTCTGTGGGAATCCATTTGTTCTGTTAGGATGTACTTGTCTGGTCTACAAAGATTTTTTTTTTTTGTCCTGTTTCTGACAGGGGAGAAACTTAGACCTTTTCCTGAGAAACAAATAGCCCTCATTGCTTCTACATGCTGACATAGCATTGTACATTTGCCAGCTTCCCTAATGACTTGCCAAAATTCTGTGACCTAAATACTTGTACAGAACATGTAACAGCACATCATAGAAATGGACCAGGAGGGTACTGCAAAAGACACACATATTCCATGAAATTCAGAAAGGCAAAAAGGAAGAAAGATAAACTCATTAATAAAATGTTTGGTTATGTAAAAATTATATGTATAACATTTAAAGAGAGTAAATTGAATGGGAATTGTAGAAATTCTAAGGCATAAAGTTAAATGAAAGTTGAGATATAAAATTGTTTTAATTTCCAGGTCCCAAAGTTGAAGTGAGCATCCATGGGCAGAGAAGTATTCAAATGCCAGCAGTGGAAAGGGAGAGAAACAGACCAGGGCTGTGACATGACCTATTTAGGGATTTATTTATTTTTTATTGTTAATTATTTTTGTGTGTGTGTGTGAGAAAGTATATGTAACAAAATAGGCCATCTTAATAATTTTTAAGTGTATAATTCAGTGGCATTAACTGTATTCACAATCATTACAACTGTTCCCAAAACTTTTTCATTACCCCAAACTTTTCTGATATAATTGGTTATATCAGAATTTTTATTATTATTTATTTAGAGACAGAGTCTTGCTTTGTTGCCCAGGCTAGAGTGAGTGCCATGGCGTCAGCCTAGCTCACAGCAACCTCAAACTCCTGGGCTCAAGCAATCCTACTGCCTCAGCCTCCTGAGTAGCTGGGACTACAGGCATGCGCCACCATGCCTGGCTAATTTTTTCTATATATATTTTTTAGTTGGCCAATTAATTTCTTTCTATTTATAGTAGAGATGGGGGTCTCACTCTTGCTCAGGTTGGTTTTGAACTCCTGTCCTCGAGCAATCCACCTGCCTTGGCTTCCCAGAGTGCTAGGATTACAGGTGTGAGCCACTGCGCCCGGCCCAGAATTTTTTTTAGCTTAAAGAAACAGCATTCAAACCTTTTATGTTTAAATTTTAGTATATGTTGGGGTTGATTCTGCTAGTTATATTTCTCTTGTTCATCAATTTCCATTTTTCTTTTCTGTTGCTACAAGCTTGGTTGAAGAGGGTGCTCATCTAAATAGGGGAGGGAAGAATATTGTTCTGTCAAGGGCATGTTAGTAGCTGTGCTCCTCTGCTTAAATCTCCAAAGCAACTCTATTTTTAGGAGAACATAGGTAGTCAGGCTTCCTTTTGCTTATTTAATGTGTTTTAAAATTTAAAAGCAATATTATGTTATTGACAGTCTAGAAAAAAATTTAAGAAGTTATCACTTTGAACACAAAAATAATGATTAGTTTTGTATGTTTCTTTTGAGTCTTTTTTTATGTACTTGTTTCTGACATAGTTGATAATTACGGATCTAACATATACAAGTAGCTTACTTTTTCATCTAACATATCACTTAAAATTTTTCATGTTGCTTTGTAATCTTCATAATAAATAGTCCAAGGAATGCATGTAGCTTAATTTACATAACCATACTATTTTCATTGATATTTAGGTTGCTGAAATTTGTAGCTATTGTAATTGAACATCTTCCTACCTCCTCTTTCTGTAGTTTTTAACCCTTTCATTTTATACTCATGAGAGAGACACACACATAGACACGCACAATGCTCACATATATTGTGTGGGCAATGTCCCTGCATTTTTGGTAAAGATTTAGTAAAGTCAATAGTGGTGTGTTTTTGTAATTATGATAAACATAAGATGGATGACAGATGTTTGATTTGGTTACAGGTTGTGAAAATCTTAGAGAAGCACGACCCCTTGAAGAACACCCAGGCAAAATATGGGTCTATCCCTCCAGATGAGGCCAGTGCTGTGCAGAATTATGTAGAACACATGCTCTTCTTACTGATTGAAGAGCAAGCCAAGGATGCTGCCATGGGGCCAATTCTGGAATTTGTGGTCTCTGAGAACATCATGGAGAAACTCTTCCTTTGGAGCTTGAGAAGGGAATTTACCGATGAGACTAAAATTGAGCAGCTAAAGATGTATGAGATGTTGGTTACCCAGTCACACCAGCCTCTTTTGCACCACAAGCCCATTTTGAAGCCTTTGATGATGTTGCTAAGCTCTTGTTCAGGAACAACTACCCCCGTTGTGGAGGGGAAGCTGGTTGTCCTACTCAATCAGCTCTGTTCCATCCTTGCCAAAGATCCATCCATTCTGGAACTCTTCTTCCACACTAGTGAGGACCAAGGGGCTGCCAACTTCCTCATCTTCTCCCTTCTGATTCCCTTCATTCACCGAGAGGGCACAGTGGGCCAGCAAGCTCGGGATGCTTTGCTGTTTATCATGTCCCTGTCGGCCGAGAACAGCATGGTGGCCCATCACATCGTGGAGAATACCTACTTTTGTCCAGTAAGTTCCTCTCCTCAGCATGTTTTCCACCCACTCACTTTTCCTCTCCTGTGCTAATGATAAATACTTTTTTATTCCCTTGTTCCAGCAAGTTGGGCCTGGCACCTTCTATGGAAAGGTGTTTAAAGGAAATCTTTTGGAGGGAGCAGAGGGATCTAAGTTGAGATGCTATTTGGCTGAGCAGTGTCAGCTCAATATCAGCCAACAGAGGAAGTTATGTGTGTTACCATTTCTTGGTTCATTATTATTGTGTTAGGAATGATTTTAGTTTTTCTAAGAGCATATCCTGAGAGATTGGTAAAACCTGTGCTTTCTAAATCCTTAGCTTTTCAGATTGATTTTGTTCCAATGAATCATGGTGTGCAAGACCCCTCACAGCTGGTTTCACAAATTAATTTCTTTCTCAGCAAGATAATGACCATTAGCTGTAGTATTTTTGGTGGTCACAGGGACATCAGGTGTCGGGGAGGGGGTTCAGCAGGCATTTAGTGTGCAGGGGTCACACTGACAACATCAGAGACTGGCAAGGATGTGGAGCAACAGGAACTCTCATGCGTTGCTGGTGGGAATGCAAAATTCTATAGCCACTTTGGAAGACACTTTATCAGTTTCTTACAAAACTAAACATAGTCTTACTATGTGATCTAGCAGTTGCTCTCCTTGGTATTTGTTCAAAGGAGTTGAAAACTTACTTCCACACAAAAACCTGCACAGGGTTGTTTATAGCAGCTTTATTCATAATTGCCAAAACCTGGAAGCAACCAAGATGGCCTTCAGTAGGCGAATAGATAAATAAACCGTGGTACATCTAGAAAATGGAATAGTGTTCAGCTAAAAAGAAATGAGCTATCAAGCCATGAAAAGACATTGAGGAACCTTAAATGCATGTTACTAAGTGGAAGAAGCCAATCTGAAAAGGCTATATGTTGTACAATTCCAACTATATGACAATCTGGAAAAGACATAATATGGAGACAGTAAAAAGATCATTTTTTTTTCAGAGGAAGGGATGAAGGGCAAAGTACAGAGGATTTTTAGGGCAATGAAACCGCTCTGTATGTACTATAATAGTGGGTACATCTGTTCAAACCCATAGAATGTAAAGTACCATGAGTGAACCCCAATGTAAACTGTGGGTTTGAAGTGACTGTAATGTGTCACTGTAAGTTCATCAGTTGTAACAAATGTACCACTCATGTAGGGGATGTTAATAATAGAAGAAGCTGTGCATATGTGGGTGCTGGGGTATGTGGAGTATCTCTGTATCTTCCATTCAATTTTGTCATGAACCTTAAAACTGTTCTAAAAAAGTAAACTGTTTAAAAAAGGCACTTTTGTGAGGAAGCTGTACAAGATTTGGGTTTTGGCTTATTTGAATTGTTTGGGTAGTTCTGCTGTTACAAAAGAGCAGATATTGTAACAAATCATCAGAATATTCAGGTGGTTCACTTAATCAACATGCAAAAGGCAAATGTTAAAAATACTATTTAAGGCCGGGCGCGGTGGCTCACGCCTGTAATCCTAGCACTCTGGGAGGCCGAGGCGGGCGGATTGCTCGAGGTCGGGAGTTCGAAACCAGCCTGAGCGAGACCCCGTCTCTACTAAAAATAGAAAGAAATTAATTGACCAACTAAAAAAAGTATATATACAAAAAATTAGCCGGGCATGGTGGTGCATGCCTGTAGTCCCAGCTACTCGGGAGGCTGAGGCAGGAGGATCGCTTGAGCCCAGGAGTTTGAGGTTGCTGTGAGCTAGGCTGATGCCACGGCACTCACTCTAGCCTGGGCAACAAAAGTGAGACTCTGTCTCAAAAAAAAAAAAAAAAAAATACTATTTAAAAAAGCAACACAATCATAAAGTATCTTGAAATAAGTCTAACAAATATATGAAAAGCCTTTATAGAGAAAATTATAAAACCTTACTGAAGAAGTAAAAGAAGATCTAAATAAATGGAAAGCTCTATAGTTTGTAGATATTGTGTAGATGGGACATTCCCACAAATCCTTAAAATGAATGCAGTTTATTTTTTACAACTTTCTTATTATGAGAAAAAGTAAAATGCAGAAAATTTAGAACATTAAAATTAATACCACATATATACCACCTAAATTCAAAATTTGTTAATATTTTGCCATTCTTTGGTATATTTATCATCTATACTTTTATTTATTTTTTCTGCTCCATTTGAAATGAAGTTGCAGGCATTGCATACTTTAGCCTGTATTCTCTACAAATAAGGACATTCTTCTACCTAACCATAATACTGTTATTGTACCTGAGGGAATTGTATAGTAATTTCCTAATATGATCTAATACCCAGTTCTCCCATTATGCCCAAAATTACTTTCATAACTTTCCCTCCTCTCCCCCCAAGCTAGAGTCCAGTGAAAGGTATACATCTAGCTATCATGTCTCTTTAGTCTCTGTTAATGTATGACAACCTGCCACTTTTCTTCCCCATGACATTGACTTTTAAGAGACCAGGACATTGTCTTGTAGAATACCCCACATCCTGGATTTGGTTCTTTTTTGTATAGTTTGTTGTCCCTATACCCATATTTCCTGCAAATTGGAGTTAGGTCTACCTGCTGAATTAAATTTAGGTTAAATATTTTTGGCAAGAATAATTTACAGGTGCTGCCGTATACTTAGTATATTACAGCAAGAGGCATGTTAACGTGTTAAGACACATTAGGTTGTCCCACTATTGGTGATACAGTGAGATACCAGTTAATAATTACCAGAGTGGCTATTAGATATCTGATAATACCAAATGTTTTCAAGAGTATGGAAAAAAACTCGAGAAATTTTGAGAATATAAATTGGTATACTAACTCAGGAAAGCAGCATGGCAATATTTAGTAAAATTGAATATCTGTATACCATGTAATCCTGCAGTCATTTCTGGCTATCTGGCTTAGAGAAATCTGGCATATGTTTATAAACAAAGATGTTCAGTAGAACAGTGATTTGAAGAAGAGGAAATAGGAAAATATGAAGTGAAAGATAAACTGGTTTATTCATACATCAATGGAATGCTATTCAACATTCAAAGTTAATGAATCACATGTATTGTCATGTAACTACATATATGAACACCAATAAATCTAAAAACAATCTGAGTAAAAAACAGCAAAAGGTTACATACAGTATATAAACAAGTTACATAAAATTTTAAAACAGAAACCTAGTGTATACTGTTTTGTGGATACGTATGTATACAGTAAAAGTACAAAAATAAGCCCAGGAATAATATATGCTAAATTTAAGACTGTGGTTACTTTTGGGGGATGAAGGAAGGAGAAGGGATGGTAATGAGATTGGAGTAGGTTTAGTTCTATTTGTAATGTTTTATTTTTTGAAAAACAGAGTGCTCTGAAGAAATTACGGCAAAATGTTACACTCTGTTAAGTTTTGGTGATGGGTTTCTCTTCTGTTTTGTAATATTTTATAATTTAAAAATTTAAACATATCATGACAAGAATGGAGCATGTTTTAATGTCTAGATTTCCACTTCACTCTGTCATAAGCGTATTTTACTGTGTAACTGTTGCTTTTACAAAACTGTTTTAAAACACTATGCAGTTCATTAAAATTGGAGGGAAAACAACATCTCCAGCTGACCTTATTTGCTAGAATGAAACACGAACTTCGTTGTGTTAAGGTGCCCCTCAGGATAGATCCCATAATCTCATTTGTACCCAGTTTTCTATAATTACATCTGACAACATAATTTAAAAAAAGCCCTCTTTATGTTGAAGATAAAAGCATACTCTATTAACCATCCGGCTAAGGACCACAATTGACAAAAAGCTTTCTCTAATTAGTATGATTGTCAAAGTGTGTTAGCATCAAGCTGTTGGAAGAGTAATGACTCTTTCAGGAAATTGGACCACTTTTGGAAACCTTTATTGTGATAGTTGATAGGAAAATCTTGCTGGTTCTGCTGCTTCTTATCTCAAGATGTGCTTCCTCAAGAAAAGAAGGAGAATGAGGACACCCTAGGAAACAATTTGGTGCCAAATGGCTGGGGACTAAATGACCCTATCACTTCTTTTGATTTTTTTTAACCAAATATTGATGGTTAGACCTGTACCATTTGTTACATATTGGCAAATGTAGAAAACAGCATTTACATAAATCAAGAAATGCAAATTAAAACAAGCAACCTTTAGGTACACAGCCGCAGGTAGACAGTTATTTATCCCATATCCAAAATTTATGAGGCTTTTTATTTTGGCAGGTTGTATCAAATAGTCCCCACCAGGTGTTTTGCTGTGAGCTTCAAACTAAAGCCATCTGCTAAAAATCTTTGTGTTTGCTAAAATTAACTGGGTATCATTAGATATTTAAAGTTAAACATTACTCAACGTGTTTGATGCTTTGTGCATGTCATCTTTCTTTCCTCCTTTGGAAACATTTCTGTGTGTAAAACATTATGCTAATCTTGGTTCATGTGTTATTTTCTTTAAGCCTTCCAACAATTCAGTGAAGAAGCTGAAATTTAGAGAACTTTAATAATTGCCTGTCAGTGACAGAGTCTGGTTCAAAACCATGTTAGTCTGACATTAAAATCCTGGTCTCAGCAACTGCCATGCTGTATGGCTGCCAGGGAAGTTGTTTGCGTTTTTGTCTGTTGTTATCTGTATGGTTTAATATAGTGATTAATTTCTTTTAAGGAGACTCCTGGGAGAAGATAAATTTAAAATATTGGGTTAATACTTAATGTGTTGGGAATAAACACAATGTTTTACAATTAACTTTTGTGATCAGGATCAATAAAAGGCTAAAATAGTGGATGGGCATTTTGTTTTTAATTAGCTATTCACCATATATAATTTTTTTATAATTTAATTTTTAAGTTAAAAATTGAAATTTAATAGTAGACAGATTGTGCTATTTAACTCTTCAACCTGGAAAAAAATCACCTATAAACTTGTGTTTTCTCTCCTTTTCCCTTGTCCTGTTCTCACATTACTCTATTTTCCTTTGGGTAGCAA